GGAGGAACCGGGATGGCAGACTGGGACTCTGTAGCCATGACCTTTGGAGATGGAGGGAGTGGATCATGAGCCAAACTCCTCAGGTGGTCCGTCAGTGCTGGAAAAGACCAGAAAACCAATTCTCCCCTTGGGTCCTCACGAGTCAGCAGCCCTGGCAATTCCTTGCTTTGGGACCCCTTAGGATTCACTGCAGCCGTCTAACTCTAGAATGCTCAGAGAACGGAATTGGTATTGGTGGGAGCTACCAAGTTTGTGATCATTGGTGATGGGAGCCAAGGAAACTGACATAATCCCTCTGCCATTTCCAGGCTTAGGTTCTGAGCTCTGCAGCTGCAGCAGAGGAATCTCTACAAAATGCCAATCTGCCTACTCAAAACTTTGCACAAGTCCCTAACTCATCCAAAGGGCATCCCAAGTGGCCTTTTTATCTACTGAACTCTTTTTTTTTGGGGGGGGGGTTGAGACAGGGTTTCTCTATGTAGCTCTGTGTAGTGACATTTTGTTTGTATCTTAATAAAGCTTGCCTGAAGTTCAGAGAGTAAAACAGCTGCACTGATCAGCCTTACAGACCAGGCAGTGGTGCCACACACTTTTAATCCCGGTAGCCACACTAGTTCGCCATAGAAACTGGATGATAGTGGTGCACATCTTTAATCCTGGCACTAGAGAGGATTGTGAGATGGGAGGAGACATCTCTTAGTCACAGTCTCATTCTGACATTCCTGCAGGCAGGCAGGATCACCATTTCAAACTGAGGTAGAGGTTAGAGCCAGTGACAGGCTGACTTGCTTTTCTGACCTTCAGGTTGAAACCCAATTTCTATCTCTGTTTTTTTTTTTTAATTATTATTAATTATGTTACAGTCCTTCTATCCTGGAACATATAAACACAACGAGGCTAGGGGCCAACTGTTGGTTCTCAAATGTGGTTTGCCCACCACCACATTTCCCCTCTTTCTGGAATTAAAGGTATGCACCACCACGTCCGGGCTTCTCTGGAACTCTTCCTGTACCTGTTTTCCTCCCTCCTCTTCTTTTTTTGGTTCATGTTCAAGACCCTGGAATTTTTTTGTACCTGCTCTTCTGTCTACAGAGGGTGCCTATTCCTCTTGTTCTAGGGATTTCTCACTTCCCCGACATCTCCTGGACTACGAAGACTTCAGGATGCGTTACTTGTCCCCTCGTCAAAAGTTCCCACAACATCTTGATGGTGTGTAGCACGTGCCACTCCGTTTCCACCGTGCTGTTCCCATCTGTGTCTCCTGGCAGCAGCGGAGACTCTGCAAGGGTCCAATCAGTATTTGCTGGAGGCTTGGATGAGCGTTGCTATGTCACCCCATCTTGTCTCCAGGTTTCTAGTCCGCCATGCCATTCTTTTCTTCTCTCCGCTAGCGTCATATGGTAGGCTTTGAAATGGCTTCTCAGGGTTGCCTTTCACTACACAGGCCTCCACCCCAGTCTCGGGTTTCCATCTGGAGAATGTGCTCCAGAGGTTTCTCATGGGAGACTCGGGCACGGGATGCCCACTTGGATCACAACCCTCGTGTGTCTGCATACAGATGTAGCAACAGCAGCAGCAGCAGGGGCAGCCTCACTTGGTATTATTTTAACGGTGAAGATACAAGCATTTCAAAGCATGAGAAGTTAAAGTGAACATTTAGCTTTTATTATATTATTATTATTATTATCATCATCATCATCCATCATCGTCGTCGTCATCATCATCATCATCATTTTCAAGACAGGGTTTCTCTGGATAGCTCTGGCTGTTCTGAAACTCACTCTGTAGAGCAGGCTGGCCTCAAACCAAGAGATCCACCTGCCTCTGCCTCCTAAGTGCTGGGATTAAAGGCGTGCACCTCCATTGCCCTGCAAACATAAAGCTTTTAAGTAGTGATCTCAAAATACTTTCCAAAGAAAGCTATGGAGATGCGGGGGGGGGGGGGGGG